AGCAAAGCAACCATCCTTTAGTTGCAGAAAATTGATGCTTTTTGCTATAGCTGAACATTTAATGAGCAGCACATTTCCTCTTCCCTATAGTTTACTTTCTCTCCCAAACAATATATGTCGGTGCTTTATTTTTTTTTTTTCTTAGAGTGGAACAGTTTTCTGCTCTACATTTTTAAAAATGACATTTTAAAAACTAGAAGAGAAGAGGGCAACCTGAGACCCCAGGATTGTATGCAGGCCCTCACTCCCCACCCCTCTTTTATTTTAGCAGCACAAAGAACTCCAACCAATAGGGTTGTCCATAGGAGGGGGTTTGAAAAGTCAAGATGGCGTCTGCAATGGTGCAATTCAAGTACCACCCTGTAAAAAGGATGGTGGATCTAAGAAAAGGAGCAAGGACTCTACTGTGCCTGCCACCTTGATTTTTTTAAACCTCCCCCCCCCCAACTTGCTAAAAATCAGCAGCATGGCTTCTTGCCATTATGAGATTTGACACACATGCAAACAGAAGAATAGCATTAAATACTCCTAATATTGCTAAAAAAACAACACCACCACCCCCTCACCTGCCTATGTATGTGGCACAGCCTTGCACTGCTGCTCTCCCAAAAAGGTGAAGTACACACCCTGGCACCAAAAAGTCGCTCTTCTAATCATTAGAATGTTTGAAATGAAGAGTAAAATTTCTATTATGGGAAGGAAAAGGAGAAAGACAGAAAGAAAAAAAAAGAAAAAAAAAAGGGGGGGGAATTAACTTTGAACAAGGAACCACATATAACATAAATGAGACAGACCCACAGAGAATAAATTCACTTTATGTCATGGATTATCAACACACGCTTTTACCAGAGAGAGAAAACATTCAATCCTTCAACACTATTAAAACAGCTCCTAGAAAAAGGAAGCAAAACAGATTGCTACCTTTTCCCACAGTCAATAAAAGGCTCTGGGGACACACTTTGTGGCTTTTGCCATGACTGAACATGGATTGAGCACGAAGAAGGAAGAGAAATCAAGTACAGGTGAGTGGACTCTAAGGGAAGCCTCCGCCCCTCCTGCTTGAAAGAGACGTTGAGTGGCTGCTCCCTGGCCCCTTGAGCTCCCTGCAGCTTGTGAAGACAGCATGATAGCATTCAATGTGGTCCTGGAGGATCTGTTGCTCAGCCTCGTCCTGGCATGCAGTCTGGCTCTCAGTACACACACAGATCTGGGAACTTCATCTCATACACTGGGATGGAATGGTTCTGCGACTGGCCGTAAGCAGCTGTGATGGTGCCAGAGGGACTGGGAGGGGGACTGCAATGAAGGAAAAGGACAGGAAGTCAGGAGAACAAGAGTGTAGAGCAATGTTTCTCCACCTCGGCAACTTTAAGATGTCTGGACTTCATCTCCCAGAATTCCCCAGCCAGCATGCTGGCTGGGGAATTCTGGGAGATGAAGTCCAGACATCTTAAAGTTGCCGAGGTGGAGAAACACTGGTGTAGAGACAGGAAGATGCAAGACATCTAAGAGGCTGAGAAAATGAAAATGGCCACTATCCCAAAAACTAAATCACAGAATGAGGTGGGAAACTCTGTTCCACCAGTTGGGAAGGAAGTTGTACAAGAGCAATAAATTATTATTTGAGGAAATAGGAAAGTCTTCCTAGCTCCCTGTCCCATACAGGCTGTGAATCATACTAACATGTTTGTGAAGGGAAAAGTTTGAAAGGCTGGCTTCTTGGGGCTGTTATCTCTACAGGGACAAACTTTTGGGCAATTAATGCTTTTTGCAGAAACTTGAGTACTTGGTGGAACTCATTGCTACTAGATGCTGCAAAGAGCATAAACACAGAGAGATTTTCCTTGAGCCCACCTGGTTATTGTAAGACCCCATAAAAAGGCATGGCTTCTTTAGGAAGCAGCCAACTGGTTCAGGAGGGCCCCTACAGAAGATCTAAAGCAGTGATTCTCAACCTTTTTGAAACTGCCGCCCCCCCTAAGGAGCGGAAAATTTTTCAATGCCACCCTTTGTGAAAATCCTGTAATTTAGAG